AATGCGAACCTTTTGTAATGTTATAAATCTTTCATCAATTTAAGGCATCTCTGCTGAATAAAAACTGTAGATGTGTCAGCCCATAGCATTCTGTCATGTTAATATTTACAATATGTCATGTTAATTTAACAAGCATAACTTGTTGTTCAAGTTCTTTAATCTAAAAGGAAATTATGTAATTTGAACGAATAAAATCATGTTATTTAATAAATAAATGATGTAGTTTAAGCATATAAAAATCATGTTCTTTAATTGTAAAGAAATGGTGTAGTTTGAACATATAAAAGTCATGTTATTTAATCAAAGTTAAATTATGTAGCCTAAACATAAAAAAACAATTTAATTGAACATATTAAAACAAATTATGTTTAATAAACATAACTTTATTATGTGCAACCGATGTACATATTTTTATGTTAATTCGACAATTTGTTTTTCAGTGTGTAATGGTACATACTGTAAGGCATAATCTGAAGCTGAATAAATGTTCATTGATGTATGATTTGTTGTGCTATGATAATTTCACAGTAAATATACTACTTAATGTCTGGAATCTTAGTGTTCAAAACATATATGCAGAAATATCTAAACAAATGATTATAATCTCCTTTAAAGTTGTCTAACTTAAGTTCTTACTCTTTAAAAAATGCCTGATTCCACATAATTGATTTGTTTTGTGACAGCATGAATTAATTAAGTTAACTAATGTACAAATTTAAGTGGATTGAACATAAAAACAATTAAGTTGTCTAAAAAAGAATCAAGAGTTGTGTTGTTTCAGCTTATTTTAAGTAATTTGATCAAGAAGCAAACCATTTTTGAGTGCATACTTAAAGTTAAACATTAAGTTAGAGAAATGTACAAAATCTTCACAATGATGATCTTTACTGAATATCAGACCATATTTGGCCTGTCGTTTTTAATAGAATATGACTAGAGTCATAATTAACAGAAATCTTACTGACCTTAAATGTTGGAACACAAAAGCAAAAATCACATTTAAATCAAGACGCTTCCTGTGGACATCAACAGAGTAACACATTGGAGTAAATGTTTGCTTAAAGACTTGTTAATACTAGTATGTAATTGCTTACTTGCCATATCCCTGCAAAGTTAATGTCCAGTCCTTTACTTCCTGTCAGGACTGTTTTTGTTTTTAAACCAAGTAACTGTGCAATGATATGCCAAAGTACGCTGAAAAATTATCTTTGCGGTTTGCTCAAACTACTTATTTAAAATCAGCTGAAAAACCCAAGATAGCTTTATTGTTTTATTATTAATGCACTTAACTTTGTAAAAACATAGAACTTGACGTTTATCTGATAAAAATATTCAACTTTAAATCAGTGCTGTTAATGTTACCATGAATATGGTTATTTTTTTAAATAAAGATCGTTCAGACTCAAATAATTAATAAAGCGAAAATAGTTTATGTAAATTCAATAAATAATGTTTTTCAGTTCAATATTCTTTTAGTGCAAACCTTGTTTACTTATAAAAAAAAATATTAGTATTATTCCAGATTGTGTTAGAAACTCTATCAACCATCCAATTTACAGCTAAAAATATAATCAGAATATTTAAGCGAATACTCCATAAAAGACCATATACAGTGTTTCTCATTTCTCATGGGTTTGCACTACATGAAGTGGAATATGTTTTGGGCTGCAGTGAGTGCAGAAAGACAGATGGATGTGTCTCATACTGCTAGTGCTAGTTTTAGGCAACAGCGCTGGCCGTCTCCTCTATTATTTCAGCTCACCAGAGGCCTCCCGCGCCCCTATATGTTCCGCTATAGCCAATACAAACCACTCTCGGTGGAGGAGAACAAGAAAATGAAGCAGAGCAGCTTCCTGAAGCGTAACACTAGAGGACTGACGACTCATTCATAAACACTCATGGCTGAATCTACAATTGAAAGTACTTCTGGTAGTCAAGTCAGGTCATCTTTTAGTCCTACAGCACTTTTTTTTAGTGTACAATCGGCAACATTTGAAGTGGATCATCACCTTTCATCAAAGTTGTCCCAAAACTAAACACCTATTCTTGTAGGACAGTTCTGAAAAACATTTTTGATTCACTTCAAAGGTTGACTTCTGTAGATTTAGATGTGTCAAAGCCAATTTATGTATTGTAGGTGAACAGAAAATAATATTATTATTAATATTAACAACAAACCCAACCCTTATTGTGGGATGAGCAAGTCGTACTAAATTTTACAAATGAGATTGTACGAATTCATACGAATTAGCCTTTAAATGAAAAAGTTAGGAGTTGCTGTGGGATAGTGTTGGATCTGGGCACCCTTACAGTGCCGAAGACTTACGCATGTTAATCTGGCCTATTACTTGTTGTATATTTTTATTATTATTATTATTATTATTATTATTATTATTATTATTATTAATAATAATAATAATAATAAAAGCCATTATGGAACATATTCAACAGAATATTAGTGGTAGTTTTTTTCACAACAACACTGATATTAATAATAATGATGATAATAATATTAATAATGATGATTATGATGATTATGATGATAATAATAATAACAATAATAGCAATAATAATAAAAATCAAAGCCATTTTGAACCATATTAAGTATACTAGTGGTATTTTTTTTTTTTTTTTTACAACAACACTATTATTATTATTAAAACAAGACTATACTGTTTACTTGTCTAGAAAATTGCTTCTTGATTTAATAATCAATGGGATAAGAATCAGCACCTCCAAGTCTGAGGCCATGATGCTCAACCGGAAAAAGGTTGTTTGCCATCTCCAGGTTGGAGGAAAGTCCTTACCACAGGTGAAGGAGTTAAAGTTTCTTGGGGTTTTGTTCACGAGTGAGGAAAGGAAGGAACGTGAAATTGACTGGCGGATTGGTGCTGCATTGCAATAATGTGGTCGATGCAGCGATGTGTTGTGGAAAAGAAGGATCTGATGAACCGCCAATTTATCCAGCATATGTTTTACGCAGCAGATGCCCTTCCAGCTGCAACCCATCACTGGGAAACATCCATACACACTTATACATTACAGCCATTTTTTTTTTTTACTTGCATATTAATACATTTATTTCCTCATGTCATTTTATTTTCTGCAGGGCTGGATTTCCATCCAAATAAAATGAAATATTAGAATAAATAACTTAAAGCTCTTTGACATAAATTGCTAAAAAGAGAAACAAAAATAGAAATCTGTGTCTAAATTGTAAATATAAATGATACTATTTCAAATTAAAATATATATATATATATATATATATATATATATATATATATATATATATATATATATATATATATATATACATAAATTTCAGATTAATTTGGACCCTTTAAAATGTATTTACTGAAGATTCTCTCAGTATTCATCTTGTAAAGTGAAAGAACTGTATTGATATTCACCAAACATCCTGTTTTTTCTCTACAAAGCCAATTCCTTCAGTTAATTCAGCCCAAGCCTATTAGCATACAGACAGCTTTCAAACATTGTTGTGTAGCCTGTGGTGTCATATTTGGTCTTTTGTAAGCTTTATACTAAATTTAAATGTAAATGTTTTAAATGTAAAAAACTACATTTAAAAAGAACTAATAAGGTTGTAAAATAATCTAAAAGCTGTGCAAGAGATGTAATTGTAGGCGAGGCAGTGGCACAGTGGGTAGTCGCCTCACAGCAAGAAGGTCGCTGGTTCGAACCTCGGCTCAGTTGGCGTTTCTGTGTGGAGTTTGCATGTTCTCCCTGCCTTCGCGTGGGTTTCCTCCGGGTGCTCCGGTTTCCCCCACAGTCCAAAGACATGGGGTTCAGGTGAATTGAGTAGGCTAAATTGTCCGAATGTGTGTGGATGTTCCCCAGACATGGGTTGCGGCTGGAAGGGCATCCACTGCGTAAAAACTTGCTGGATAAGTTGGCGGTTCATTCCGCTGTGGCGACCTCGGATTAATAAAGGGAATAAGCCGACAAGAAAATGAATGAATGAATGAATGAGATGTCATTGTGAAATTTGTATATTGATTCCTGATATCTTTACACACTCAAAACAATCAAAAGATTTCTGATGCTTGTTCAAAGGGCCTATTTCAAATGAGCTGATTCTTGAAATTTTAAGGAGATAACTTAATTGTTTTATGTTCAAGCCATTTAAATTTGGAAAAGAGACAACATTCATCAGTTCACAGCATTAACCTTTTAGATACAAAAGTATTTACATGCAGCCTTTATGATGCAATGTCAGACACAATGCACTCGATGGAGTGAGTGAGGTCACTGTGACGGGTAGGGTTAGGGGTGATGTTAGGTCATCGCATTAAAAAGCATTGGATGCAGCTCAGATTGCACTGCACCATGTCTGCATCCAGCACCCTCTCTTTAGATAGGCCTGTGCAAAAAAGTTCTGGCTTTTATATGGAGTTTTTGGAAGTAAAACAGCAGATTATAGTGTGTGTGGATAAATATTCGTACTATGTTTACTATGGCCTGAGAGCTGAGATGCTTAATGTTTGTTTTTCAAACAAACTGTATCAAGGTAAGTGCTCAAAGATCTCGCTTTCTTTCACTCTCACACACTACATATAGCCCCATATAAAAGACAGAAACAAAGTTTTTTTTGCACTGCAACTGCTGATCAACAGTAAAAATGACAAAAAAGGGAAAACCACCAACAATCAGGAACTCTTGATATTCGGTGTCATGGATTTGTAATCAAAAATGAGTCAAAGTTGCAAACATAATGTAAGTGTAGTAAATTTCCCAGTGTGTACTGTTGAGTTTTTGAAAAATTCTAAGCATTTTCCCGAAATATGTCTTAAAATAAGATTTGTCCCCAAAAATCATTTCATTTGCTGAAACACTGAGAAAGATGTGGCCAAATAACACTGAAAATGTGGATGAAAACATTCCCAACAACACACAAGGGTTTAACGTTCACACTATTGGTCCTGTAACTTCACCAACGTGTCTTTTTATCATCTGTAAACTGTGTTTGTGTGTTGCAGAACTCCATGAAGGTGATGTTTAAGTGTCTGTGGAAGAACTGTGAAAAAGTCCTCAGCACCTCCTCAGGGATCCAGCGCCACATCCGCACCGTCCACTTGGGGTAAGAGACACTCACACCCGTCTGTCCCGCCGTCACCAGTTACATTAATGCAATGAATGTCTTTCAAATCTACATAAAATATTTTCCCCAAAGAAAATATCTCAAAATGTTACTAAATTGTGTTATTTACATTTAGCAGGATGTCCGCAGGGCCTTAAAAACATTTTAAATTTCCTGAAATATTGTGTTGTAGTTCTTAATCATTTTTAACAGATCTTCATTTTCACATTTCAAATCAACATCATCAGATTTTTAAATTTAATTTTTTATTTTTTTATTTTAATAAAGCAAGTAAAATCTTTTTCATTAAACATCTTTTCAAATAAAATAGGATTTAAACATAACTTTACTTAAACATAACTTTCCTTAAGATATGTTTTTTAAAACAGCATGTAAAAAGCCTTAATTCTCCCCTGCTTGTAAAAGTGAAAAAGAAAGGGAGGTGCATTTTTGTCAAAATTGAGTTATTCACATATTAAATGACATCTTATTTACATTATGTGATGTTTTATAAGTTGTTTACATTTTAAAACTTTTTATTTAAAAAACAAAAATGATTTATCTACAAAGTTGAACTCTATCAGCATTTTTAATGCATGCACAAGGACCAATCAGGATCAGCTTTCTTTGTCAATTTGCCAGACTGCTCCATTGACAGCGGGAAACACCAGACAGACAAAATCAGAGTCGACTAAATAATGCCGCACCACCAGGCCCGGATTAAGAACTCAGGGGCCCCTAGGCACATTGTCTTGTAAGGCCCCCTACCTGGCCGCACCCCTATAGTTGAATTTAAAAAATAAGAATAATATAAGAATTTTTTAAATAAAATGAATCTATAATTTGTTGCCCACATATTTAAATAAATGATATATAGTACATATGTATTTTTAGTCTACAAAGATTTAACTTATTTTTCAAAGCATTGAATAAAAATACTAATAAAACTATATATATATATATATATATTTTATTTTTTTAAAGGGTATTTTAATGTATTGCTTTTACAAACTTATAAAGCATATTATTGCCATGGCATATAACGCACAATGCTTCTCCAATCCAGTTCTATGAATCTGAGTTCTATGAATCTGAGTCTTTCATAATACAAACACTGATTTACTGTCTCTCTCCTTCTCTCCCTGTATTTTCTCTACTCTTCTCGTGATGAAGACTTGATTATAAACCTAAAAGTATCCGAAATCACACACACTATACCTCTTCTCTCCCATCTCTCTCCTCTTCTGGGCCTTTCTCTCTCTCTCTCCCTCTCTCCCTCCTTTTCTGTCTGTCTCTCACACGATGAATCTAGTCCGCGCTGCGCTGCCGTTAGCCTCCTCCGCCTGGTTAATGCTAGCTACTCATCATTTAAAGTTACCATAACGTCTTCTTCTGTACCCTCAATCTCCTAATCATGGGTCTGTTTAAAGATGGTGTGTATGGAAAATGCCTCAATAAAGATGCCTCCTCTCCTCTTTCTCTCGCGTTTGCTAAATCCACTTGTCCACTCATTTTTGATCTATGACAGATATAACGTTACACTAAAGTCCGCTCAGTTTAGTGCGGGTTATTACAAAACTGACGTTTCCCCGCTTGACCAATTACAGCTTTCTGTTTAGTTAAAGAAAGAAAGGCAGTTTAAATATAATAATAATATTAATATGTGATCGCGATTTTTTGCTCAGAGGAAATACAGTTGTCCGAGCAATATAGTTTTTGCAGAGAGGGAGGCACCTATAATAAGGCTAAACGTTATTAAATACCCACGAGACACTTGTGACTTTATATCACATTTGCATTATTTTTAAACAATGTTTCCTTCCTATTAAAAATAAATATATTTCCAATCTGATATGTAATGGGGAGGAAAAAAAGTAGCACGAGTTCAGCTGATGGTGGATTCAAACCGAGTTTATGATTAATCGCGGCAAAAGATGAAGCTGTGCGCCTTACAAGGTGCGCCACTGCGGCTGTAATGATCAACAGCTCTTTACTCATGTTGTCTCTATAAATCAGGTATCGATGAGCGTAAATCCTTAATAGCTTATTCCAACTAGATGCGCTATTTGCAATTAGCCAAAAAAGACACTCCGAAATTGTCTTTTTTTCTTCCCCCTCGCAGGGGCCCCTAGTGCGCACGGGCCCTTGGGCCTTTGCCCATAAGGCCCATTGGTTAATCCGGCCCTGCGCACCACACAAAATGGAGATGTGTGTAAATGTGACGATTTAGAAGCATTTCCTTTACATTGAGATTCATTCATTCATTCATTTTCTTTTCGACTTAGTCCATTTTTTAATCTGGGGTCACCACAGCGGAATGAACCACCAACTTATCCAGCATATGTTTTACACAGCGGATGCCCTTCCAGCTGCAACCCATCACTGGAAAACACCCATACACACTTAATCACACACATACACTATGGCCAATTTTAGCTTAGCCAATTCACCTACTGTATACCGCATGTCTTTGGACTTGTTGGAGAAACCAGAGCACCCGGAGGAAACACACACCAACACAGAGAGAACATGCAAACTCCACACAGAAGCGCCAAGTAAACCAGCTGAGGCTCGAACCAGCAACCTTCTTGCTGTGAGGCGATCATGCTACCCACTGCGCCATGCACCGCATTGCCGACATTGAGATGAAATATTACATTTTACATTGTTGAAAAAGAGATGAATATTAAAAAAATGTAGATATTAAATGTGAAATATATTTGTTTGTTTACATAGTCAGTGAATAGGCAACACATTTGGACTCATTTGGTCATCGTCTGTTTCTTTTAAAGTCTTTAAATTTAATATTAAGCCTTGAAGAGCAAATACTTTATTTAATTAATGGGGCATATAATTCAATGAATATAATTCAATAATTCATATAGAGCATAAAATTTTATAAATATTAACATATTAATTTGATAAAATTAACATCTGCACTGGAAAAAATATTTAGCACAGCATTGCATGCTTAATTGGAACAAGAAAAAATATTCATCCTAAAACATGAAATAAATGTTGTAGAAAGCAAAAATGTAACTTTCTCAAGCATCAACATATTGGTACAACACCAACTTATATATTTTTTGATTGTATTTCTTGAAAAGTAATGCTTCAATGAATGATCTGCCAGATAGAACTTTATAGCTCCAAATGGAAAATGACTTTTCAGAATTAGCAGGTTCTATCTGCATTTACTGTGGTTTTTTTACTCTAATTTGCAAATGTAAGAGAACTTTGATCATATACATTCAGAGAACCCTTTGGGTCTCTGCCATGGTAATGCATGAAAGAGAACTGTTACACACATATTGTTTGCTATATGGAATGCAAAACCTTTGAAGCTCAATATCTTCAAATCATTCAGAACGCAGATAGAACCTTATAATTCCAAAGTGACGATATGTTTAGGGTAATGACTTCATTAAATATGATGACAGACATTTAAAGCCCGATTTTTATATTTTAATAGAAGTTTTGAATGTAAATATGACGTGACAATATGACGTCTTATATGAAAACTGACAGAATGACTGTTATGGTAACTCTAGTAGTTATAGAATTTTGGTAGTTTCAGTGTTAAACCTTTATGAGTTTCTTTCTTCTGTTAAACACAAAACAACATATTTTAAAGAAGAAGAAAAAAATTTGAAAACTTTAACCGTTGATATAGATATAACAGAAACCTTGGAATTCAATGTTTTCTTCAAAGTATCTTTTTGTATTGAAGAATCAGAATTCAGATTTCTGGGTGAACTATACCTTCAATTAAATTCAGCATTTCTTCTTGAATATCAAAGTAAAGTAGCTGTATTTAAACTTGCATTTTAAAAATCCCCAATGACAACAAGCTCTAATGTTCTACTGAAGAAAAAAGTGGCCTATATTTGGGATGGCCTGAACATGAGTTTTCATTTTTTGGAGAACTGACTTTTATGAACACCAGTTAAGAAAATGACTCCAGAAGAAAAATGGCAATCATCATCAAGCATCATATAACCCGCTAAACTCTGTTGTGAAGATGATTTAGAGCCATTAGGACTGTCTGTCATGGGACAGCTCAGGGTGAGCTACTCTTTCAGAGCACCATAACAGGAGCTCCAGAGGGAAACACATTCTGATGTCGGTAGTAAGAGTGTTTTTATAGCCTCATGTTGCTACCTACCATCCCATGTAAACAGTCAGAGCCGCCGGTAAAGATGTTGGCACTGCTGCCACCTGCTGGCGGGTACATATAACAAGAGCTGCACGGATTGGGGGAAAAACTTTACAATATTTAGTTTTTCTGCGATAGATAGATAGATAGATAGATAGATAGATAGATAGATAGATAGATAGATAGATAGATAGATAGATAGATAGATGGATGGATGGATGGATGGATGGATGGATGGATGGATGGATGGATGGATGGATGGATGGATGGATGGATGGATGGATGGATGGATAGATAGATAGATAGATAGATAGATAGATAGATAGATAGATAGATAGATAGATAGATAGATAGATAGATAGATAGATAGATAGATAGATAGATAGATAGATAGATACGAATACAATTTCATCAGATGACTCGAATAGCTTCATCAGATGATTTGAATAGTTGGGAAGAATTCATTTTTTTAAACATTCATTTAGGTGATTTTGTAGGAGAGTACATTTGAATAAATCATAATAAACACCTGATATGCATAGATGAATATAATAGAGCAAAGATACAAATGAAATAAACAGAGCATTTTGTTTTTTGGGGGGTGTCTAACAGTATTCAGGTACAAATAATAAAGAATCAAATGGAAAATTCTATAAATAATTAACCCCTTTAGACCTGAATTATGATCTAAGTTTCAGAGAAAGGCTTCCATCAATGAGACTAAATAAAAATAATAAACATGTCAGCATTCTTTAAACTGTTTTTTGTCTATTTCAGTGAACATCATGTCAAAATGAAAATTTTATAGCCTGCTTATTATTATATAATAGACAGACTTTAAAAAGACAGTTGATTTGTAATTTTAATTAGTAAATGTAATCCCTTTTTCTTTAATCTATCAAATATTGTCAAATATATCAATAAATGTGAATAAAACCATTGAAAATGTTCCTTAATTCTGTGTTTTGAACCAAGCGCTGCCATGCTTGTCTTCAGCATTGTGGATATAACAGACAGAGCTTTACTGCCATTTGATTGGCTGACAATCATCCAATATCATGGACAGCAGACTTAAAAGTCAATTAAATGCTTCACAAACCTGATATGTGATGGCCATTGTAATGGATGCAGAATCCAAAAGGGTTGCTTAGCTACATTGCTGAATTCATTCATTCATAAAATTTCAGCTTTTACAATCAAAAGGAAAAAAAAATGTGTATCAAATGTCCGACTGCCATTAGAATTTTAAATACCAGCTTTTAAGTATCAAATCAAATGGAAAATGTCTTCATTGGATAAATAATGAACCCCATCAGACCAGAATTATGATCCAAGTTTAAGAGGAAGGCATCCATCAACAAGACTGAATAAAAATAATAAAAATGTCAACATTCTTTAATATTTTTCGTCTATTTCGATGAACATCATGTCAAAACAGTTGTCTTTACATAATATTTTTTTTGAATGTCACAAACTTAAAAATGACAACTTTCAATTTTAATTTGAGGTTTTTGTTTTATAGCCTGCTTATTATTATATAGAAGACAAAAATATTTTTTAAAATTCCTTATTTTATTTAAAGTTTGCAACTCTACAATGTATTTGTAACTTTAATTAGTAAAAGCTATCCTTCTTCTTCTATGCAATCTATCAAATATGGACAAATATTTCAATAAATGTGAATAAAAGCATTGAAAACGTTGCTTACTTTTATATTCAGAACCAAGTGCTGCCATGCTTGTCTTTAGCATTGTGAATATTTTTTATTCAGATTACAACAAACAGAGCCTCCTGCCATTTGATTGGCTGACAAACATCCAATATCATGGACAGCAGACTTAAAAGTAGATTAAATGCTCAAAAAAAAAATCTAAACAAAAAATACCCTGATATGTAATGTCTGTTGTAATGGACGCAGGACACAAAAGGGATAAACAAGATCAAGATATTCATTCATTTATTTCTTTTCACCTTTGTCCTTTTATTAATCAGGATTCACCACAGCAGAATGAACCGCCAACTTATTCAGCATATGTTTTACACAGCGGATGCTCTTAATCATACATATACACTACAGCCAATTTAGTTTACCCAATTCACCTATGGCGCATGTCTTTGTACTTGTGGGGGATGAACATGCTAACTTCACACAGAAATGCTACCTGACCCAGCTGGGGCTTGAATCAGCGACCTTTTTACTGTGAGGCGACATCGCTCCACACCATGTGGACCTATGCATCCTAACACAAGTCTACTAAATCTGACAATCATGTCTGTGTGTTTTCAGGCGAAATGGAGATTCTGACTACAGCGATGGCGAGGAGGATTTCTACTACTCTGAAATCGAGGTGAACATGGACACTCTTTCGGAGGGTCTGTCTAACCTCACGCCCACGTCTCCGACCACGTCCGGGCCGCCGCCTGTGTTCCCCGTCCTGACCTGTGATGTGTCCCGAACTGAACCTGCCAACGTGATCCACACCCCGCTCAGTCAATCAGCACCCTCGGCACTGTGCCATATCCGCACTGACCACGCTTACCAGGTGACAGCAGTGTGTGTGTGTGTGCGTGTGTGTGTGTGTGTGTGTGTGTGTGTGTTATAATAATAATAAATAATTATTAATTAGTAATAATAAATAATAATAGTAAATTTATTTAGACATTTCAACCTACAAGTTCTCTACAAGTGTACAAGTCACTGCAAGTGACCTTATGAAGTTGAAATAAAATGTTGTCCAGTTAAATTTGTCTTTTAAGAGTTATTATGGTTGTCACGATCACTAACCTTTGTAGATCGCTGGAGAGCATCCACATTTACATGGACTACAAGCCTGTCTCATATGAACTACAAGTCCTGTCATGCAACACACACCTGCTCCTGCACTAGAATTTAAACATACTACTCGGCTGTTAGAAAAAGTAGGTTCTATACAGTATGAATGTGAAAATTCTGAATGGAATTCAGGTGTACTAAATCCGCCATTTTGTCATCATGGTCACGTGACCTACCTCTATCTGTTGCGTCACTTCACTTCCACTCATGAATTCTCTCGCGGGCATTATGGGATAGTGCAGTGTGCATGGGATGTGCACTCCAGAATCTCGCCGAAAGTATTAAGTCATCAGGATACTTCTTACATACTGATTTTCAAATTCTCTGAATTCGGACATCTACTCGGCTCACATTATGATTTTAGCGTACTATATAGTATAAGGGTAGTATAGGGTAACCGGAGCACCCGAAGGAAACCATCGTGAACACGGTGAACTTCTGGGAGACTTGGGATGTCTCAAGAGTTCAGACACTTCTATACAGCTTAAAATGACATAAAGGCTTAAGGTTAATTAGGCAGGTTAGGGTAATTAGACAAGTCATTGTGTTACATTGGTTTCTTCTGTAGACTATCAAAAAATATAGCTTAAAGGGGCTAATAATAGCCGGAAAAAAAACAAATAAGACTTTCTCCAGAAGAAAAAAATATTATTAGACCTACTGTGAAAATTTTCTTGGTCTGTTAAACATCATTTGGGAAATATTTGAAAAGAGAAAAAAAAATTATTCTGACTTCAACTGTTTATTTGTGTGTATATTCCTCATGTATACACTTGAAGTCAGAATTACATGGCCCTTGAATATTTTCCCTCAATTTTTTGAAGCACATTTCTTAACATAATAATTTTAATAACTAATTTATTTTATCTTTGCCATGATAACAGTACATACTATTTTTCAAGATACTAGTACTCAGCTTAAAGGCTAAATTAGGCAAGTTATGGTAATTTGGCAAGTCATTATATAACAATGGTTTGTTTTGTAGACAGTTGAAAAAATATAGCTTGAAGAGGCAAATAATTTTGACCCTAAAATGTTTTTTAAAAAATTAAAAACTGCTTTTATTCTAGCTGAAATAAAACAAATAAGACTTTCTCCAGAAGAAAAAATATAATTAGACATACTGTGAACATTTCCTTGCTCTGTTAAAGATCATTTAGGGAATATTTGAAAAATAGGATGACTAATAAATCTGACTTTGACTGTACATACTTAGTTACTTGTTTATTTATTGAGCTATTTATTCGTTGCTTTTATATATGCATTTATTTAGTCATTTTAGGGATTTGGCCTAAATTCTCAGACAGGGTATTGATAAGTATATTAGTATATTATCAACATTAGTATATAATAAATTAGGGCATTTAAGTAATTTTTATAAACTTGCCTTAAAAAATGCCCATCCTGACACCAAACAATCCTATTTTTTATAGTCTTAGATAAATCTTTGCAAGGTTTTATTTTTTAATTTTTTTGAGCTGAAATACATGAAGCTCAGGCTAACATTTTAGTCTTGCATACATTATTGCATCAATTTGATTTTCTTTTATGCCAATTAATTTTAAATTACAAAAAATATATGATGCTATATTTTATATGCACATATGATAAATGCAATTTTAGGTTTTTATTTTATTTATTTGTTTCAGTATCATTTTTTTAATCTCATCTTTTTTTATACAATTTATTAGCAAAAATCCTATTGAAATTATATTGTTCTCCTGGAAAAAATCTTTTTAGCATAATGTTTCTCATAGGATTTGGTTGATTGCCATTAATAATATTACTCAAGAAATGTTTTTAACCATCCTAAACTAAGCTTTTTTTGTCCTAAATAGTAATACGAAACCCTAGTTTTATCTTTGCATAAACATCACTAAATTTAGTTTAATTTATGTTCCCGACAAATATGGAAAACACATATCAAGATACATCTTACAACTGCACTTATGTTGCTTTAAGAAAATTCAGATATTTTATTAGGAAAATAATTGTAGGTTGTTGTTGTGTAGCTACATTAGATTTTTCTTGAAAAATTCCAAAGTAAATGACCTTTCAGAAATCTTTCAAACGAACAGAGATTTATATCTGTGACCTTTGGCCGTGAAGCATTAAGGCATCTGTTAAATCTCAGCGTCGGGGTCAGACACACACACACACACACACAGATAGAGACATATATGTGTGTCTGTAATTGCTGACGTATTAATGGCTCAGTGAGTGTTTTCAGTGGTCTCATCATGTCTTATGTAGCAGCTCCTCTTGACTATCAATGGTGTGCGGTTCTACTTAAAGGGATAGTTCACCCAAAAATGAAAATTTCATCATCAGTACTCACCCATTACTTGTTTCAAAACTTTATGACTTTCTTTCTTCAGTTGAACACAAAAGAAGATAATTGAAAAATACTGAAAACCATTTGCTGCATTCCAATTTGCATACTTATTCTAGATCCTGTAAGTATATGCATATACATATATACATACTACTTTCTTATTAATGAATCGTTTTGTTGCTTTATTACACAATCTATCAATCTTCCACATTTCGTCAATCAGTTAAAAAGGGTATATAATAAAAAATAATTTAAAATGTTTCTGGCTTTTATATTGAGCTCTGCAGAGTATAAAAAGCAACCCATGTTCATTCGGAAAACATACCCCTTTATAAATTTCTAAAGAGCACCAAATATGTCCCAGAAGCTACATTTATTTTTGCAGTTTTTGTTTTTGTGAATCCACAACAGGCCATTGTGTATGTTTTTTCAGATCTCAAATTTCTCTCACGAGTGCCTTTCGCGTCTGTTGTTCTCTGCTTGTTATTCGAAGCCTCGCCGGGTACAAAAGAGCCGGTTTAAGTCCTTGTTTGTACATTACAGCCATGAGTTTGCGGTATTGAGCACGTTGTTCCATTATTTCAGGACTATAGTCTTCAAAGATGGCAATTGGTTTGCCTTGATAATAAAGCTCGCCTTGCTTTTTACGTGCCACGTGAATGACTTTATCTTTTAGCTGGTATCGATGAAAGTGGACCACGAAAGTGATCTTTTTCTGGTTTCAGTTTGGCGATGAGGGATCTGTGCGCACGGTCGAGCTCTGGGGAGAAGGTAAAATCTGTTCTCTGAAAACTTCAAAAAGTAACTCTGAGAAAAATGGCCGTGGCCCTCTATCAACTCATGCCAATGATCCTTATGTGGTTTCTTCTGCATCGTGCTTCTAGATCAGCAGTTTTGGCTTTTAGCTGTGCGTTGCTCTCTGTTACTGCTGAGAGGGAAGTTTTAAGCCGTTCCACGCGCTCATCCAGCGTCTCCGCATGAGATTCTAATGAGGGAAGTCTCTGTCTTTGATCGGATACCATGGTTTGAACACAGTCAAGTTACGATTTCAATGTTGAAATGGCTGTTTGAACTCGCCAAGGCCATTCTATGCTCTTCCAGCAAATCTGACAGAGCCGTCATGTTCACTTCTTCTTTTGCCGCGGGTGATTCAGCTTTTACCTTAGCTTCTTTCTTGGATGTTTTCGCAGATTTAGATGCCATCCTTTATAAATACTGTTATTTATACGTAGTTTAGCTATTTTTTGTATTTAGTTGAAAAACAATAGGTTTTTTAAGTGAATAAAATTCAGAAGGGGAAAAAAGGCACACGTCTACTCCATCTCGTTGCCAACTGGAAGTCACGTCTGTTGTTCTAGTGTAAATCCACGAGAGGCCGCTGTTGTCTGACTGAATGACTGGTTGACTGACTGACTGATCGACTGACCCATCCTGCTCCTTCCTTAAACCCAACCAATAGTATTTTCAAAAGCACCGATTGACCCGACCACCCATTTTCCCTAACCCAATTAACAATATTAAAATGCAATCCAGAAAAGGAAAAGCCCTCGGCTGATTTTTACCACATTTTCAGATTTTACTACATTCACACTATTATTTACTGCTTTATTTTATTTTTTGTTATTGTTTTACCCGCTTTCTGGAATCGTTTTTCACTGGACTCGAACCCCGTCATTGATGCGTCATACCGCCCCTTATTGTTTATTTTAAAAATGAAATATGCCATATGTACCTCTGACTACATAATTTGCAATCTCCTGAAACGTATATAGTACTATCTTTGCAGAATGAGCCTATGTTGATAAAAACGGTTTGTCTCGCATGTCCACTATGTTAGTAATTTTTTACAATTTGAGTTTGAAGTTCTAATCAAATTCAAGTTGCAGCAAGCTATGCATTGTCTGCAACATTAGCGGTTAGAGCAGGGGTCACCAATCTCGGTCCTGGAGGGCCAGTGTCCCTGCAGGATTTAGTTCCAACTTGCCTCAACACACCTTCCAGGATGTTTCAAGTATACCTAGTAAGACCTTGATTAGCTTGTTCAGCTGTGTTTGATCAGGGTTGGAGCTAAAATCTGTAGGACACCGGCCCTCCAGAAACAAGTTTGGTGACCACTGGGTTAGAGTATGAACCGTTCTATACTTCAAACTTCTTCCAGAAATAGTAGACCATCCTGGAACCTTTGGCATCATCTTTTCAACATACTACGGTTTGAGACACTCTAATTTTAATTTTGAATACAATTTAGGAGCCATTTGACTTCCATAGTAGGAAAAGAAAATACTATGGAGGTCAATGGTTACAGGTTTTTAGCTTTCTCCAAAGTATCTTTTTTGGTGTTTAACAGAATAATTAGGTTTGGCAGCGCATGCGGGAGAGTAAATAGTGCGTAAATGCTCACGTTTGGGTGAACTATCCTCTTAACAGTGTATTTTCTTTCTCCCTCTGCTGGCTTTGCTAATACCGCTTCTTACACACACCTACTGTGTTTTTCAGGCTACAACCCCTGTCAGCATTCCCAGCATGCCTTCATGCCCGCCTCACAGTGAGGATAGGATTAGTGTATCCTGGCAGTCACCCCCTGTCATTTATAAAGGTCCACCGGTGAGATGCTACTCTCTTTCCTTTCTTGTTTTCTTACACTTCCTCCTTTTTTTCAGCTGGTAACTCATGAAGCGCTAAAAAGAGTTCCGTTTTTCTCTGACTCTCGGGGTCTTTCAGAAGTTGCACTTGCATGACTTTTGGTTTCCTGTCTCAGATGCTTTTGCAAAAATGCAGTAAAGCAGACTTCAAACCTCTGTTACAAGCTGACAACAGAGACATCTGGTAAACACAGTTTAATCTGAACTAATTAGGTGCATGATGGGAAAATATTCATAAAAGTAATTTATTACTTGGCCAACATGGAATTTCTGCAGATTTTGAGCCCTTCATTCAAACCATTTATTGTAACACTTTACTTGAAAGGGTGTTCATAACACTGCCATTAAACCTTCATAATCATGACATGTCATTATGCATGCTTATGAAAACTGATATGCTCAGTTATGACATTTTCAACACAAACATGACTTTGTGTTATGACAACTTGACATAAACAAATCCACAACATGTTTTTCTCAGAAAAAAACTAAGATTACCAAGACAGCAAAACTTGTCATAAATATGTTATAAACATGATAAATCCATTACAAATGTGTTATGAATTTCGTAGCAGCATTATTAATATTTTTGACCTTAACTACAGTGGTAAAAGCTGAATTTGTCAGCTTGTCAGCATTAAATATTAATGACGCTGTTACAAATTATTCGGCAAAGACATTGAAATGACATATACAGTTTTTCACTGAAAAGGTGATCAGAAAAATATCCTGTTCATCATGTTTATGACAGGTTTATGACAAGTTATGTTATCATAATAATGTCAAATTGTAATGACAAAGATGAAGACTGGTTGTGATGTATTTTTTATGTGTAATTGTCATTAGAAACATCGCCATCTTTGCATTTAACTGAGCAAATGACCCCTTGACAGTTGTCGTAAGCAAGCATAAAATCTCATATTATGATTATCATGAGTCTTATGAACACTTCTTTAAGTTGTGTTAATCCTATTTATTTACTATTATGTAAATGTGTGTAAACATATATTTTTTCTGTTTTTATATTAATTTCAGTAATGTTATTGAATAATATGTGAATGTTTGTAAAGTAATATTTTCTGTCTTTTAGTAGATCTGAGGCATTATTTATCAAATATATATATATATATATATATATATATGTTTTTAGTTTTTAGTTATTTTACTCAAAATCATTCTGCAGAATTGTGCAGAAATTGCAAAAAATTCTGACTGACAAATTGTATTTAAATAGACTTTTCTAATGACTAAAAAGTAAATTAGTAGTAAAGAGTAATTTCACTACTTGATTTAATAGTGAAAATCCACATCAATCCAAATGCAAAGACAATAGAAATTAAACTCTGAATTCTTTAAATTTGAATTAAACAGGACCTTTTAGTTTTGTTTTCACAAAACTAAACAACATATGTATAAAAACTTCAGATGTTTTAAAGTAATGACAACACATTTCATACTCAAAAAATGACTTTTGCTGTTACTTTAAATTACGTATTTAAAATAAGTTGAAACAACATCATTTTTAAAGCTTTTTTGGGGATAACTTAATTGTTTTATGTTCAATCTACATAAATTATAAAAATGATTGAGTTAACTTAATTGATTTGTGTTGGGACAACATGAAGGAATTGTGTGGAACCCAGCATTTTAAAAAATATTACAAAATATAAATATTGTAGAATGTAAAATAAATGTTCATCAGTATACCATTATGCTCATCACCAAATTTCCTTCTCTTACAGAACCACAGGTGTCAGCATATTTGGTTGTGTTTGTTGAGTTTGATTACCTTTAACAGGATTTGTATTGTTTTTTTTTTTCAGGGCCCGATGACTCAAATCCGCACTGTCAGCATCGGTGAGAAGAGACAACCTGTTAACCACACCACTGTCAGCAAAACACACACCAACAGCACCTCCACTTCCAAACCCACCACTGGAACCAGGTAACCCGTGTGAAAATCCATGTGAAATCAAAAGTCACAGTGTTTATTTCACTAGCGCACATTGTTATTAGGTGATCTGCAGTTAATCTGTGCTGTGTATTTTAAAGGTTCACGAAACCCTCAAGTACTTTTTAGAGATTTTAACAGATTTGTGTGTGTTGAGCATCAGTTAAGACAACGTTAGCACCTGTCAGCTTTAATTGTGGGAAAAACTGGATAATTTTACGCTTTTGTCAGCTAATTTCAGCTTCCGGGTTTAAAAGGATTTTTGGGGCAAGTGCAAAGATGATGCATCGGTTTCTCGTTATTATTCATCGCGGAGTTTTCTTATCCTATGAGAAGAGCCTGCTTCTTAATTATTCATGACTGCACATGCTCTCTGAAGGCAAGGCAGACCAGTGCCAAGCTGTGAGACACAGACCCACAGCACACAGTATTTAGCTGTTCATTACGGGTCGTATGTGTTTGTTTCCATGAACCACAGAGTTTGTCGCATGTTTTTCCCGCGATGCTGTCAGGGGCCGATACAGCAAAGCTGTTTGTGTGGAACAAGCATTTTTGTCGAGAGAGCAGTATGAGAATTGGAGAATGCCGGACGTTGTCCTTTATCAGGAACTCGTTGACATTTAGACACATCGCCGTGCTGCTGTGTTTGCCTAAATCCTTTAGATTACCAACTGGGCTACTGGTTAAAATAGACAGGGCAAGAGACCTGCTGCACTGAGTCTGCATTCAGACCTATGATTCAGACCTGGGTATTGAGGAAAAGTCCTCATTTATAGTGTTTATATGAACACGATTATCTTTATAATTATATAAATTGTGGTCATCTGTATATGAAATTACGAATAACCAATGTAGCAGGGCATTAAATTACGGTTTATTTCTTTGCATTTTAACTTGGTAGACTATAAAATCATGTGTCTCCTCACGATTTGTGTCCCGTTTTGTGAGCTAACTGACAACAGTTGCTTGCTCCCCTCCTTCTCCTTCTCCTTCTGAGTCAGACTTGAACCAAAAGTGGGGGTGTCATGAACCTTTAACACCAAAAATGACAACCCTGCAAGATATTAAGCATTACTTCCTTGAAATCTCCTCTTGATTGACTAATCCAAGCCATTTCTCTTCCAAATACTTTTGTTACTATCGAATAATCCACCTTGATAATCCAGTTGAGGCCTAATCTGACAGGGATATTTTTTTTTCAGCTGTACACTGATTTCTAGCATGACCATCACCAAAAAAATTAAATGTGGGACAATATAACCCTAAAACATATCTCGAAACTGCGTCTAGCTTAATAACGGCAGTATTCTGCCAGTCATATCGTTTACAGTATGTTCTCCATATCCTTCTAGAAAGCACAATTGTAACATATTTTAATATAATGTCTTTATTTTACATGGAATTTAAATTGAGGAAATCCACATTTTAGACTGCCAACTGTCAAATAGGTGAAAAAACTACACTATAAAGGAATAAAGGGCTCACATAAAAGGCAAGAACATGCACATTTGCTTAATGCAGCAATTAAACCAAAAAACATTGAATATTTTCACAATATGCGACGTGCAGGAGAAAGAGCTATGTTTTATAGTGCAAAATGGAGCAGCTGGTCAAACTTTTGGCTTCCGTATGTTTATTTGGCAGAATACAAAACTTTGTTGCTGTACCCAAAATCACATGATAATTGGCAGCTCCATCAAGGATTGCATGTTAAATGTGCTGTTATAGCCTAGAAAGCAGATGTCAGGGCTTTGAGAAAATCAGTGTTACTTTCGTCCCACGTTACTTTCGTCTCCGCTCTCCCCTAGTGACTTTTTCTATGCCGAACAAGTCTATGAGAATCGACTTAAAGGGGGTAGGGTATGTTAGACACTAGAGAGCATTTGAGAAGATTTGTTGAGAAACCATGAGGTGAATAAAAAAACATTGATGCATTTAGGCGGAAGTGACAAACTGCAAGTCAGTTTTATATTTTTTGACGGCAATTATGTCACTTTATTTTGAGCACACTAAAGCTGCTTTTCCACTATCGTGCCAAACCGTTCTAAGAACACTTCGGTACAGTTACGGTTGTTTCTCCACTGAGTCTGGAACGGCGCAGCACGATTACAAACCGTTCTCGGCCCGGAATTCTCGGCACGGTTAGACAACCGTGCTGAACTGTGCTGACAGATTTTGTGTGTTGACATTGCGACTCGGTTGCTAAGCTACCACAGCTGGCTCAGCAGAAGCGCGCTAGTCATCAGACATCCTCAATAAACTACAGTACATTTAATATAAAATAATGATCCAGGTCTAAACGATACAGTTTGAAAAGGGTTTTAAAACCATAGAGCAGTCTCTGGCAGAGAAGTGAATAACTCATCACATTCTTACTAAGATATTTTATTCATTAAAGTTATTATTTTATTGACTTGAATACAGACCTACTTCGCCTGCCTGAATGTGAGTTTATTGCACGCAGCGCTGTATTTCACAGCACAAAACTCGCTCTGATCCGGGAGAGACATGCTAGCGACTTGCGCTGCTCACTTTTTTTTCTGCTACGCATCGAATAAAGCGAATAAAGCAAATAAAGTCACGCTTTGCATCGTCGATGTCCAAATTCCACAACAACATCACTATATCCATGGAACACAAACGTGCAGACTCTTTTAACAACGAGGAAATAATTGCACTTTTTAATTCAAAGCCAGGACAGCTTGTTAATACCGGCGAGACCACCTGAAGGACGGCGTGTTGTAATGTAGGCCGTCCAAAAGACTTTGCTTGAAAGCTTTACGGAGCGGCACTGTAACTGTCAAAGGTACTGTTGTATGATTTATATTATAGCATTTGCACTAATAATAAAAAAAAGAATGAATGAATTAAATAAATATGGATTCTTAAATGTCAGTATTGCTTTTACTCAAAAAATATCAATACGTTTTGACAAATGTTTTACAAAAATAAAATAAGCAATTTTCATCATTTCAGATATAGGCAATTGTATGATTCAGTTATACATAAGTTATATGACATTTATGAGGCATGTAACATGTTTCTGTGTTTTTGTTTTTTTGTTCTTGGTGATCTTTAATATAGCTACGCAAATATTTTCTAAAACGTCAAACAATAATTCGCCTACAGCTTGTTAGTTAATTTTTAACACAAAAATAATTATAATAATAAAAATAAAATTATCAAAATAAAAAGATAACAGAGTAGCATTTTGCTAAATATAATAGTGCTTTATATGCTTTAAATCCTGCAATATATGTGTTGTTTCATATTCGTTTTTTATTTCATTTCGGGGTTTTTTTTATTCGTTATTTAATGTTTGAATAGTAAAACAAATAACAGCCATCGCTTAATTGGTTTCATTTTACCATCAAAATGTAGTATTTTTTATATCATTATCAACTTTTGATATAAAAACGCAGTGTAATTTAATTAATTGTTAAAAATGAAATAATTTATGTGCTGTGTTTTTATTAGTGAAAGTGCCCGCTCACCTTTGACAAGACCTGTCCAAAATGATATTTCTGCCACTCTAATACAAATGCACTATTATTGTTGTCTTATCATTGTTTATTTTTCTGTTATGTTCAGAGATTTTAAATATTATTTATTTCCCCTCCAATTATTTTTAATCATCACGTTACATTTTGGTAATTTTCCCTCAAATAAAATGTAGCCAGAGCTGCGCAACATATAAATAAATAAGGGTGCACATGTACCTATATTTAGCACCCCTATTTGATAGAGCGGCATAACAGTGTTTAGTCACATGGTTGCTTTCGCTTTTATGAAAAAAAAAACCTAGTTTCGGCTCTTATTTAGCTTTAATTGAACAAAGGGAGCCGTTTACATTGCGTTACCAAGGCAACTACTGATGCGTTTTGTGTAATGTTTTAAAGAGCTTTGTCGCAGCACGACAGTGGAAAATGAAACCGTATCCGTGCTGTCTGGCCCGGTTTGGCACGGAATGGAACAGTTCTGTTTAAAGAACGATTCAGCACGATAGTGGAAAAGCGGCTTAAGTTATAGCCATCTTTAAAACTAACATAGTGCATAAAACATCTAAAAAAATAAATTATACGGGACATTTAAGAACAATTTAAAGCGAAACTTGTTTTACTTTCACTCTAATATTTTTACAGGCCACATACTTGCATTTGTAATTAAAGCCCTGGTCAGATATCACAATGTTTGTTGTTGGTTATGAAAGTCACTATGTCAGATTATGCTATTCTTTTTTTTTTTTTTTTTTTTTTTTTACAAACTCGAGTTGTCATGGGCAACAAATGTGCCAGACTAAACGTTCCTTCATGATCAGTCATCCCATGATGTCTACGACAAGCTTTATTTCTCAAAGCAGTCCCAAGTGTTGCTGTAACAATATTTCTCATCTTAATTTCGATTTTATCTTATTTCAATCTTAATAAACACTAATGCATGCTGACAACTAATAACTACATTATTTAAGGGCATTCTTATGACATGGATAGGATTAAACCACGAGTGAGATGTAGAAATGAAAGCACATCAGCACTGTGGAAAAATCAGATGCTCAAGACATAATCTTTAAAATAATGACGTTTAAAAAAATAGCCTTTATATATCTGAGATTTGTTATACACTCACAGTGAAGCATTCATTAAATCCCTATTTTCATCAGAGCAAAACAAATTATTCAATCGTTTGGTTGAGTAGAGGAGCGGAACAAACAAAAATATAATTACATTATATTTATTTATACATTAAATATAATAACAGTATCATTTTATCTTTATTTTAATGTATCTTTTGCTGCCCAGTCATCTCTCAACAAGAATAATGAATAACATTTGAGGTGATGCGCTTCAAAACAAGTCCGCTATATTCACCAAAACACCAATTGCCTTGAGATTGTGATGGTTAGTTAAATAGAATAATAATCTAGTCTAAATGAAGATGATGTTTCAGAGAAGCCTGAACAGTTTTCACTATTAATGGCAATTTTGAAAAAGCAGGAAATGCTTTTACAATGTATTCACACCACTGAACATGTTCGCAGATTACCTTGGAAGTACAAATTCTGTTGGAAGGATGAGAGTACTCAGAAACTGATTGTGAGAATGAAGATGTCCGCATATTTGTGCCAGTCTGTCAGATAGAATTGCTTAAAGCACTTTAATATTTTAGAATAATAAAGTTTGCATAACCAATGATTGATCTTATCCACCGGTGACCCACCCATAAGTAAATATGTAGCTTACTTTTTGATTATCTGACCAGCGCATTAACAGCAGCACCCCCTGATATAACCGAGAAATGGTGTGCTCCTATTGCACAGTGTCACCCACTTGATGGAAGTCATCATGAAGAACGAGAATAAAAATTTAACATGCAAGACTTTCTGCGATGGTGTCGTGAGGCGTCACAGGCATGGTATCGACTGTCATGAACTATGCCACATTACACAAGAAGAAATGATTGATTCTTGTGTCATGACGCCCATTTGACGTTTACAAATCCCCACAACACCCTACATCAAGGAAATTGTGGTGAAATCATGACAAATGTGATCATGTGATCTGACCAGGGCTTGCGTATATTTTTTATTCAGTATTTGTACTTTCAGTTGAGTCCGTTTTTAGGAGTCCTTCATTACCGCTAACTCAAATGTAATATTTTTTCCAGGAAACCCCGCGGTGAAGCCAAGAAGTGTCGGAAGGTGTATGGCATGGAGAAGAAAGACCTGTGGTGCACAGCGTGCCGCTGGAAGAAGGCCTGCCAGCGCTTCACTGATTGAGTCCCTCTTTAACCCCACACTTCTGCTCTTTATATGCGGTTGTTCCAAAGGAATGAGCACTGAAAGCTCCTGCTACTCTCACTGTGGACTAGAGCTGAGATGATGTTCATCTGACGTGTGTGGCCTTTTGATTCCTTCAGGCCACAAGGGGGGGCTCTTTTTCTAACGCTTCCATAGTGGAACACTGAGACTTTATTTAGAAAACAAAAAACACGGATAAAAAGCTGAAAAAGCAAAAACAATTTTTGAAAAAAAAAAAAGCTTTTGCTGCATTGCATATTAAAGCGAAACGAAGTATTTTTCTAAAGTAATCCAGAAACGAAAACGGCGTATTTTCATATTTCACGTGGAATACAGCTAACCATTTTCCGTCGTTTTAGTTGTGGCAGACTTTATACAATGTTTTTACTGTTCTCTAAGCTATTTTTATTGAGTGTTTTCAACAGTTAACCCTCGCTCAAATTCAAATCGGCTCACATTTCCGTACTTACCGCTTTATTTTGCCTATAAGCACTTTTAATGCTCATTAAAATCATTGAAATAAAGCAGAGTACAGTCGGCGCGTTCCCTGTGAGCGTTTCTGACAACTGGTCAGGAACTCAAATGTGGCTAAAGTGATACCTCCAAACGAGATTGAGCCTTAGAGAGAGAGAGAGGCGTCTGTGCACTTGAAGTGCAGGAATGTAAAATAACGTCTCTCTATCTCTGCACCGGAAATACTCTGTCCCTCACAGATCAACTGCCTCTCTATAAGCTATGAGGTTTATTCCTGTCAGTCCACAGTATTAATTCGCACTTCACATTTAAACCGACCACCTGCTGTCCCAGTCTAATGTGATTCATAAATCTAAGTGTTTTCCTCGAGTCTTTTTGTGCTTCCTAAGAAATCATTTGCTTCTCATTCAGCGCACGGATGTTTTTCCCACAATGAAAGCGCATGCTCTGATAGCTGTGTTTTCTTTTCATTTGGAGGGTGATCATTTGGGGCTGGTGTCCTATGTGTACTCTCATATTCTCAGTATAAGCGGAGCAGATCTGAGCTGTTGGAACTGATAGATTTTTTTCCGTTTTCCAAGCCAATATCTAAAAATACTAAAATCAAGAACCTTTTACTTGAGAACAAAAGTGACATGTAGCGGGCATTTACACAACACTATTTTCACTTAAAAACTGAGATATTCTTAATGAATTTTGGCCACATTTGGGAAAAATCTAAACTTTTGAAGTTTCAAAGTGCTTGATTTTGAAAATAATAGTGATTAAGTCTGTGTAACTTGATTTTTTTAAGGCCTGAGAGTTTTTTTTAAACTACACTGTCATCTTCTTTGTGTAAACTGAAAGCGTAAACTGCACATATAAAAACTGCGTCTAAAGATGTGCAACAAAGTTAGAATTTTTAGCCCCTTTTAATATTGTTCCCAATTTCTGTTTGGTGAGAAGATTTCTACGTTTCTAAAGATAATAATTTTAACAACACATTTTTAATAACTGATTTTGACTTTTATCTTTGCCATGATGACAGTACATAATATTTGACCAGATATTTTACAAGTTACTAGTATTCAGTGACATTTGAAGGCTTAACTAAGGTAATTAGGAAAGGCATTATAAAATGGGTTTGTTTTGTAATGTTTTTTTTTTTATTTTTATTAAAAACTGCTTTTATTCTAGCCGGAAAAAAATCTTTTTCCAGAGGAAAAAATATTATCAGACAATACTGTGGAAATTTCTTGCTCTGTTAAACATTATTTGGGAAATATTTAAAAATGTTTTTGACTTTAATTAGATAGCAATCAAGGCTGTTGGTGATTAAAACATGAAACAAATGCCAATTAAAGGCAAACTTAAGCAGACTTAAAGGGATAGTTCACATAAAAAAGTGAATTTTGCTATCATTTACTCAAACTATTTGAGTAGCTTTCCTCTGTTGAACACAAATGACATTATTAATGTAGTATAAGGCAGCAACCAATACTCTTTGACATATCTTCTTTTAGTTTAAAACCACTTGAAGAGGAATAAATTATGAGGTGATTTTCATTTTGGGGAAAACTGTCTCTTTAAGAGAATTCACACCAATAATGAGAATTCTGGTCATTTAAATGAAAATGATTTGACATGATCGGTTCAAAATGTATTTGGTTTAGTGGTTATTTACGTAAAATACGTTTTAAATAAGTTGAAACGATTATGAAAAGTTGAAATACTTAAATTAAATTACAAGAAAAAGATTCACTTAATTGAATTCTGTTCTGTTCAACACCTTTTTGAGCATATAACGATAAAGACTTTTTTTGTTGTTTGTTTAAACGACTTATTTAAAATTTGTTGAAACAACACATCTTCTCAAGTTGTTTTTGGCGAAAACTTAATTGTTTTATGTTGAATCGACTTAAATTTGTAATAACTAATGAACTGACCTAATTCCTTCATGGTGTCCCAACACAAATCGAATTGTGTGGAAGCCCAACATTTTTTACAGTGTAGCGTTATGGTAAAACCTTTACTCAAAAAATGACTTTTGCTTCTTCTTCAAATAACGTATATAAAATGAGTTAAAACAACACACTTCATAAGTGTTTTGTGTGACAACTTAATTGTTTTATGTTCAATCCACCTAAATTTTTGAAAACAATGAGGTTAACTTAATCCATTTCTGTTGGGACAACATGAAGGAATTGTGTGAAACCCAGCATTTATTACAGTGTTGTCAGACAGTCAGAATCCATAATGCTATAAACAGCCGAGCATTTAAAGCCACAAACAATAAAACTTCCCCGCGTGCACTTATAATAAACCCAATGTTATCATCGTTTGCTGTGGATATACTGATTAAGATATATTTGCCTTAATATCACAAGTTATTTTTTTTCTCAAGTAAATGTCTCTCGATTTAAGAATGTTTTGGTATTTTTAATAATACCGAACACTGTAAAAAAACAACAAAAAACACTGAGGAAGAAACAGTGAACCCATCAAACACTGACATATGAATGTGACCTGCATTATTAAAAGGACGGACAGTTCATGCCAAAATGGCCCTTCTGTAATCATTGACAAATGTTGGGTGAACTGTAGCTTTAAGGTCGGAGGTTATTATAGGAGGAGTTCACTCAAAAATTCAGCTACTCATTTTAGGCATACTAATGTTTTGGCATTCTGCTGAAGTTCAGAGTTTCTTGTAATAAAGAAACCCTGAACTTCAGCAGAATGCCAAAACATTTTGCTCCAGCAATGCATTTGATATTTTTCACCATCCAGGGAAGAAGATTCAGGGTATCTTTACACAACGACGTTTCATGCGTTTTTTGACAACGCCGGTTTAGGGTCTTGGAAACACAAATCTGTCACCATCTCCATGTAAGCTGTAAAAAGAGATATTGTGAAAAAATGGTGATGTCATACATGTTTCGTATGTGTTCAGCCTGTGGTGACGTGAGTATTCATCAATGCTGAACTACAGGACTCCAGTATCAGCAGGTTCCATTCGGAAGAGCTCATAATCCCAATGCCCTAACATCTCTTCAAGGGGATTAGAGGATAAGTGCCAAACTCAGTTCCTGAAGAACCGCAGCTCTGCACAGCTTAGCTTTACCCAAAATTAAACACACCTGATCAAACTAATTGAGTCTGTCATCCTTGATTTAAAACCTCCAGGTTAGTGTATTGAAGCAAGGTTGCAACTAAACTGTGCAGGGCTGCGGCCCTCCAGGAACTGAGTGTGACACCTGTACCCTAATCCCTTTGAAATGATGTTATGGCATAGGGATGATGAACCCTTTCAAATTTAACTCGCTAATACTGAAGTCCTGTAGTTCAGCAATGTTGAATACTCACATCACCACAGACTGAACGCATATGAAACATGTTTGACAATACCATTTTTTCTGCAATATCACTTTTAACACCACTGGATTAGGGCATAGGGATGATCCTTTTCGATGGTAATGTGCTTTTTGACAGCAGGCAAATTTCCTGCACAAATGATCATGGGGTCCCAAAATGTGCAAGAATTGTACACTTTAAAATCCTTTATTTTAAAGGGCCCTCTTTAAAGTAGCTAGTTTGGATCGACACTTCAATATGGTGGTCATGATTGTTTTCACTTCAGAGTGCCCTTAGGAGGGCGATAGATCATGTTTAGAACATGCCATATAAGATGCGTTGTGTTTGTTTGCACACAAACATCGCCACCTACTGGCCTGGCATACAGAAAATAGCATTTTTAGCTAATCATTTTGTGTAAAACGAATAATTTTCAAAGTTTTTAAAAGTCACCTGATAAACATTAGCACTTTTGTTGTGTAAATGTACCCTTAAAGGGATAGTTCACCTAAAAATAAAATTCTGTCATTATTTACACAACCTCCACTCCTTCAATACTTGTTTGATTTTCTTTATCCGGTTGAACAATTTTTTTTTTATTACCTTTTTTTTTGTCCCTACTATAGATGCTAATGTTTACTGGTTTTCACCATTTTTTAAATCTCTTCTGAAATTTTCAGTTTTAAGTGAACTATCCCTTTTAATCTTGTTTTAGCTTTTAAAGAACCAAAACAAAACAGGCACTCAAATCGTAGCTTCCGACAAACGTAGCAGTTCAGATTCAAAACACATTGCCAAATGTCTGAAACTATCAAATCATGTAGTTCAATCACAGCTTAGAGCAGCTTTGTCTTCTCTTTCACCATGGTCAGAAAGGAAAGAGCATCCCTCTCATAATCACAACCTTCACTAAGTGCCAATGAGAAGAACAAGAGGGAAAAAAATGTAATTGCACTAACTTGTACTGCACAAAGCGTATATTTTTTATGTACCGTTTTTATACGCAGAAATTGAAGTTTTTAAAACGCGAAGCTTAATGGTTGACCGCCGTGGTTCTCTTCATCGGGTCAGGGATGGGGTCTTTTTCGCTGACCTCGCAACTATAAGCTTACATGGCGGTACTTTACGGCGACGTTGTTCCTGTTTAAGCCTCACAGTACATGACTCAAAAATTACAAAAATTAACCATGGTTTTATTATAGAAAAAGTGCATTAGCCATGTTTTGTTTGGCATATTGGGTATCATTTGTATAAACAAAACAGTTTTACTACCAACTGTTAAACTACTTTAATCATGGTTAAGTTGTGGTTACCATGGTTTCATTATGTTTTATTTGTAGTAAAACCATTGTTAATTTTCCGTAAAAGGAATGGCGAGCTTCTCGCTATCAGTTATGCGACTGCAGGCTTTGGTGACTATCATTCAGGCTTGTTTCTAGGGAACTTCACTGTCTTGATTCATGATAAACATTGTTTCTGAATTATATTTCGGGGTTGTTTCTTTCTTTATAGGAACGATAATTTTGGATTATAAGCATCAAAAATCAGACGCTTTGAAGGAACACTCAACTATTTTAGGGAATAGGCTCTGTTGTAAACTTCTAAGAGCCCATTGAGCCAAGTATGGCAACAGCTCATATTAAGTGCCCCTGAGTCAATTTAGACAATCTCCAGGTCTGGCGGGAGCACTTTTAGATTAGCTTAGCATAAATCATTGAATCGGATTAGACCGTTAGCATCTTATTTTATTTAATGTTTGACTCTTTTGTAGTTGCAATATGTAAGACTGACAGAAAATGAAATGTTTCTATTTTCCAGGCCGCTGCATTTAATTGTGCCTGATGCAACCATGCTACGGCAGCAAAATTCCTTGATTATTACGGCAGAGTATAATTGGCGATATGGGCTTAGAAAATAGCTTTTTTTTAATCTCTGTTTGTCTTAGTACATAGTGTAACTACAGAAGTGTCAAACTTTAAATGGTAAAATTAACAACATTATTTTAGTTTTTTTGAGTGAAATGCTAATGATTGTTGTAATGATCTATGCTAAGCTAAGCGAAAAGTGCCCCACCAGTCCCACAGATTGGCTGCATGGATTTAAAAATGGTAAAAACTCAAGTTGAACTCTAGGGGACTTATGAAAAATGAGTCGATTTCCAAAAGAAAAGTGGAGCATTCCTTTAAATGCTTATCAGACTTTGATAAAATGGTATAAAACCTTATAAGAGCAAGAATGGATTTTTTGTTTTAAAAGTTTAATGTG